TGTGCAGAATTTGCATAGCTGGCCACGCCCCGGACATCCGGGTATAAATAGGGCATCTGCTCACTCGTTCTGTTCTGAGGAGTCGAGAAGCGTCTCAACCCACTCAGAGGCAATTCGGAGTTGTGGCATGAAGGACACAACGTCTCCGTTCCGTGCATCAGGGAACGAGGGTTACCATACGTAACCGAGACGTTCCCTTTCTGTCGTTCACGCCGACATTGTGACGAGTGTATGACACTAGGGGTCCCTATACTAAATGCCACAACTGCCGAACTGCGTCACGAGTCCACGGGGGCGCAGATGTTGACAAGCCAACGCATCACAACCAAATGCACTTCTCCTCCTCGTAACCTTCCAACACCCAAGACTTAAGACCTCACTATCCAACATCCGGGAGAGCCGCCATAGAGGCAGAGGGCCCCTCAGCCGGAGCCTTTTCCCATAGTAATACTCACCATAATATAACAGCTAAAAAGTCTTGGTAGTAACGTTTGGACAGTGACTATTCCCCCTAGGGAAAAAAGGCACTACGGAGATCACATCCTACCCGATGGGGAGGTAACGAAGATCCACCTATGAACTTACAGAGGAAGTACCACATAGGGAAGGTACTGTCACGAGTCCACGGGGGCGCAGATGTTGACAAGCCAACGCATCACAACCAAATGCACTTCTCCTCCTCGTAACCTTCCAACACCCAAGACTTAAGACCTCACTATCCAACATCCGGGAGAGCCGCCATAGAGGCAGAGGGCCCCTCAGCCGGAGCCTTTTCCCATAGTAATACTCACCATAATATAACAGCTAAAAAGTCTTGGTAGTAACGTTTGGACAGTGACTATTCCCCCTAGGGAAAAAAGGCACTACGGAGATCACATCCTACCCGATGGGGAGGTAACATGTGAAGATCCACCTATGGACTTACAGAGGAAGTACCACATAGGGAAGGTACTGGGGTGGGCTCCGCGTAAAGGGAGATCTACCAAGACCCAGAACCTATCGACAGAATGTCTGTCTAGGGGAATACTGAGCCTCAGGGGCAATACAGTGGAGAATACACACATGGGGCCTCAAGAGGAGCCACTACATGTGGAGCACTAACCCAATACAAGAGTTCACTCGAGGGAACCTACCCCGTAATGAGTTCTAATAGCAAGCTCCTCCGTCAAACTTCGCTAAGAAAAAGTACTTATGTGATGGAAGGGTAGTCCAGAGTTCATGAAAGGAACCTGAGCTGGACTGAATAAGCCAGTGGGAGATCCTTTGTCTGGAGACAGCATTCCCCTTCTGCTGTCCTCCAAAGCAAATAAAGAGCTGTTCAGAACGTCTGAAACTCTGAGTGCGATCTAGGTATGTGTGAAGGGCTCGCACTGGGCACAACAGAGACAGGTCGGGGTCCCATTCTTGGAAGGGGATAGCTTGCAATGTTACCACCTGGTCCCTGAAAGCAGTGGTGGGAACCTTGGGCACATATCCAGGCTGAGGTCTCAGGACAACGTGAGAGTCTGCCGGGCCCAAACTCCAGGTATGATTCGTTAACAGAGAGGGCTTGGAGATCCCCCACCCTCTTGACCAGAGGAAGTACCACATAGGGAAGGTACTGGGGTGGGCTCCGCGTAAAGGGAGATCTACCAAGACCCAGAACCTATCGACAGAATGTCTGTCTAGGGGAATACTGAGCCTCAGGGGCAATACAGTGGAGAATACACACATAGGGCCTCAAGAGGAGCCACTACATGTGGAGCACTAACCCAATACAAGAGTTCACTTGAGGGAACCTACCTCGTAATGAGTTCTAATAGCAAGTTCCTCCGTCAAACTTCGCTAAGATCCAGGCATGATTCGTTAACAGAGAGGGCTTGGAGATCCCCCACCCTCTTGACAGAAGTGAGCGCAGTCAGGAGGGCTGTCTTCATAGAGAGGGCACTGAATTCAACTGACTGAAGGGGCTCAAACGGATCTCTCTGGTAGGCCTGCAAGACCACAGTGAGATCCCAAGAGGAAATGAGACGTGGCCTCGGAGGGTTCAACCTCCGGGCGCCTCTGAGGAACCTAATAACCAGATCGTGCTTCCCCATCGATCTGTCTCCCACGGTGTCGTGGTTAGCCGCAATCGCGGCCACGTACACTTTAAGTGTAGAAGCAGACAGGTGCCTGTCCAGGCCTCCTTGGAGGAAGGAGAGCACAGATCCGATGGCACATCTCTGAGGGTCCTTCCCCTGGGAAGAACACCAATTCACGAAAACGCACCACTTCAGGTCATACAGCCGCCTCGTCGAGGGGGCTCTGGCCTGAGTAATAGTTTTCACCACTGCTGGTGAAAGGTCTCTGTAAAGAGCTGTTCAGAACGTCTGAAACTCTGAGTGCGATCTAGGTATGTGTGAAGGGCTCGCACTGGGCACAACAGAGACAGGTCGGGGTCCCATTCTTGGAAGGGGATAGCTTGCAATGTTACCACCTGGTCCCTGAAAGCAGTGGTGGGAACCTTGGGCACATATCCAGGCTGAGGTCTCAGGACAACGTGAGAGTCTGCCGGGCCCAAACTCCAGGTATGATTCGTTAACAGAGAGGGCAGGTCATACAGCCGCCTCGTCGAGGGGGCTCTGGCCTGAATAATGGCATTCACCACTGCTGGTGAAAGGTCTCTGGGTTCTTCCTGGTCGTATCCAGGGACCAAAAATGAAGGTTCCAGACATCCAGGCGCGGATGCCAAATTGTGCCCTTCCCCTGAGAAAGGAGGTCCTTCCTCAGGGGAATTTGCCAGGGAGGAACTGATGCCATGAACACGAGCTCCAAGAACCAGGTCCTGTTGGGCCAATAAGGGGCCACAAGCAGGAGCTGTTCTCCGTCTTCCCTGACTTTGCACAGTGTCTGTGCAATGAGGCTCACTGGGGGAAATGCATACTTGAGTAGGCCCCTGGGCCAGCTGTGAGCCAGGGCATCCATGCCGAGGGGAGCCTCGGTCAGGGAGTACCACAACTGGCCATGGGTTGATTCCGACGAAGCAAACAGGTCCACCTGTGCCAGGCCGAACCGACTCCAAATCAACTGAACCGTTTGGGGGTGAAGCCTCCACTCGCCCCTGAGCGAGATCTGTCACGAGTGGAGATCCGCTACATGATTGAAGTCACCCGGGATATGAGTGGCATGCAGAGACCTGAGTCTGTGCTGGCTTCAAAGTAAGAGATGGCGGGCGAGTTGTGACATGCGATGGGAGCGAACACCACCCTGGTGGTTGATGTATGCAACCGTCGCTGTGTTGTCCATCCGGATCAAGGGTCGAAACCTCCTCAAGGCCAAAAGCACTGTCAACAACTCCAGGCAATTGATATGCCAATGCAGCCGCGGGCCTGCTGGCGAAGTGAATCGCATAGCCGAGCCGAATGGTTCTGAGGAGCCATCGGGAGGGATTGGAGAGACTTAACCAAGCATCCAGATACCCTGCCAACGGTCTCAAAGTTGCCACATGTGCCACCGACGGATGAGGGAACATGACTTCGCGCCAGCATGCATCGTGTTGGCTGAGTGACAGACCCTTCGCATCTGAACGTGAGGAGACAGAGTGTCGGTGTCCAAACAGGTTCTGATGCATGGTTTCAGCGTCAGG